TTCACTTTAAAATCCAAGGATGTCACCCCAGGTGGGATTTGAATTACAGGAGAATGGGCAAGTTTCCAGAAATGTCACCACTTATAAAGAATGGAGAAATGTGGCATCTCACCCCTCCATTTTCTATGTGAATATTTACATTGAGCACTTTATATGACACCCGAGGAAGGACCAGTTTTCTTCTGCCTTGTTTGAATTGTCAGCTCTTTACCTGTCCGCTTTAGCCTGGAAACTGTAGATGTAGGTGACTAATAGTGGAAATCTATACACAGGCGCTTACATTAACTCAGTGTCAGACTGACATTTATTTCTCATATGGTGATGATTCAGAATTATTCAACACATTGAGTAAACATCACTACTCTGAGACAAACACATTTTATATATTTATTTCTAACTTGCATTTAATTTTCTCTTTAGATGTACTAAACCAGCATTATGATTGTTTTGCAGTCTGCAGCCAAAGACACTCTGCTGCTAATGTACTGTGGCTTCAGGGTATTCACTCTTACTTTTTGCACCTTTGTGTTGTAGATTTCACTTTAAATGGTTAAAAGTGCCATTTTTGTACATTCATCTACACTCTGCTCCATAATGTCAAGTTAAAAACATGTTCTTAGAATTTAGCTGAAGCGTTTATACCCACTGCTGTGCAAAACAGATGTTTGCTTTAATGGGCCTTGAGATGTGTCTGCAACTTGACAGGAGTCCACCTGTGGGAAACTGAACAGAGCTGCTTCAGGATGAGTCGGACTGTCCTCAAGTGGCCCAGCCAAAGTTCAGACAAACCCTGTAACATATATGAGACCTGATGAAGGCAGTTCACTGATGCTTCTCATGTGGTCTGTGCTGGACTCAACCAGTCCTCCGTGTTCTTTTATGAAGAATGATTGAAGTCAAATCTGTCTTTAAGATCCATCCATCCATTTTCCTCTGCTTATCTGGGACCGGGTCGCAAGGGCAGCAGTCTAAGCAAAGATGCCCAGACTTCCCTCTCTCCAGACACTTCCTCCAGCTCCTCCAGGGGAATGCC